GAGGGGCTTGTGTCCTCTGTGGCTGGGTCAATGAAGTGGCAGAGGGGGCCTTCTGCTCCTGGAGCAGCAGGTGGGCTGGTTGTCCTGATGCTGGGGTTTGGGGGAAATCCCCTTTCTCCAAGCTGGCATTTCCTTTTTCTTATTTTTCCATGAGGGATGGTGCTGGCTGCTCTGACCCTGATGATTTAAGTCTTGCAGCTCATCAGGAAGAGTGTTGGGCCACGAGTGCCTCACACTCCTTTCTGCCTGTCCCATTGTCTTGCCTCCAGCTGGCATTTGTGTCGGGCAGAAGACAGGAGAGGAAAGGATTCCATTCCTCTGATGCCAGGTGTTGACTGAAGGGAGTGGGAGCTGCGCAGAGGTGTCCAGCCTGTCTGCAACAGCAGGAGGTCCCTTTGGTCCTTGTGCCTCTGCTCAGAGTGTTTTCCATTATAGAAGAAATATAATTTCAAATTAACTGCAGTTTAGCTGTGACTCAGCTTTTAATTGCTTGGAATTTGCCCTTGATCTGCAGAGTACTGGATTTGTCAATTATCTGTGACTTGGGTGATCTGTGCTGAGACCAGGGACACTCCTAGTGTGTTCCAGAGAGGGCAGGAGCAGGCTTAGGGGTGATCCTGGATGGAGAAACACTGAGGGTTAAAGGTGCCGCATGCTCCCCTCTCTGGTCAGGCAGGAGTAGGATGTTCATTCTAGAAATGCTCTATCCAGGGAGAAGGGGCAGCTCTGAGCACTTGAGTCAGCAGAGGCTGGCAAGCTGCCCTGCTTCCCAGGGCTCTGCCCCTTCTGCACATCGTCTCTGCCTGGGATCAGCCACAAAGCCTTGGCTTAGCCTGGCCCCAGAGTCTAGCTTTGCACCTTCTCTGGGGTGGAAGAGGAGACTAGTTACCAAATCCTAGTGACCACCAGATCTGAATGCTGGTTTTGTAGACTAAATTCTGCCTCACATTCCAAGGAGAGAGGGAGGGAAGTGGCCCATAGGAAGTTCCTGTTCCTGAAACTGATACCAGGATGTGAAAGATTTGGGCCAAGTCACTTGCTCAGCTGGGAAAGGACAGGTCTGACACCCGAGTCTGGACTGTCCAAATCTGTTGCCCTCTAATGCCAGTGACTGAGGGATCCCCTAATCAAATAGGTTCACACACTTGTGGTTCAGATGTGTGATGACTGGGTTTTCATACTCGCATGTGAAATGTGCAAGGTTCAAACTTTATTTTGGTGTCAGCACACTACGTGTCTGACATAAAGGAAAAAGAAAGATATGAGAAAGAAAAGAAAAAGGAAAAAAAAAAGTGAAAAAGTGATTAAATCACAGAAACTTCACTTCCAGGACTCTTCTAGACTCTGTTCAGGATGCATTTTCTAGACTAGCTGTCCCTGGGTGGGTTGAGATGACCAGTGGGTCTGATGGGGCTCACCCTTACCTCTTACCCATGTGAGGTTACTGTCATGACAGCCGACATGCAGAACAGGCCAACGGATAGGTGTTGGCTGGCCATCAGGAGGGTGAAGTCCCCAGGAGCAGAGGCCAGAGCAGGAGAGGGTGGGGCCTGTCAGAAAGGGCAGGGCTGTGGCACCTGCTTTGGCTCCATCTTCTGTGATCTCAGCTCCCTGCGACTCACTGTAGGTCCCATCAGATGGCTTCTCTCTTGTTTCTGTGCTTCAGAACTTCTCAGCTCCCCTCCTAGGCTTGTAGGTGTCATGAAGCAGGACCTAATTTCACATCCTGTGGTGCCTCCAGCAGCAACTTTCAGGTGACTGTCCTTCAGTGAGTATCTGTCAGGGGGTGGCCTCCTCCTGGGGTGACTTCCTTGGAGCTCAATACACAGCTTCCCAGAGCCCCTGGGAATCCCCAGCCTGCCCAAAGGGTGAGGTTCCTGATCCCCAAGGCTCTGCAGCTACAATTCCTGCATCCCAGCATCCCTTCTCCTCACAGGACATGGCTAGTCCTACTCAGCCTTCAAGGCCTGGATCAAATGCTACCTCCTTCAGGGAACATTCTGGATGTCACCAGGTGGGGCTGGTAATGATATAGCAATAGTAGACATTGGCCAGCATCTGCCAGGCACTCACTGACATACTCCACATCCACAATCTCACTCCATCCTCACAGCTACTCTATGAAGCAGATAGTCTGGTTCATCCTCCTTTTATGGGTAAAGAACCTGAAGCTCTGCTTGGCAGGTGGAGAGGCTGTGGTCAAACCCTGACCTGTCCCATCCCGGGGCTAGGCTGCAGGGTATCTGCACTGAAGCTCTCACAGATGCCCAGAGCAGCTCACCTGCTCCTTCTCCTGAATGGGCTACATGGCATTTCTTCCTTGCTATCCTGCTCAGATTCTCACAGGGATTATTTATACATGCCTTATTACTTTTGAATTTATGGCTATAAACTCTTAGAAGTGGGGAAGTTGTTTTTCCCACAGCACTGCTACAGTATCTTATACAGAACGGGTTATATTAAATGCTGTTAAGCAAAAGGGTTGGTAAACTAGTGTATGCAGGGGGCTGTTTTATCAGCTGGTGGAGGTGAGCCACCATGCAGGGAGGCTGCCAGGCTGTGTCCTGCACACCCACACGTGGCTCTGTGTCCCTGAAATTGCGTGAGCTGCACTGGTGTGGGGACCCTTGAGGTGGACGGTGCAGCAAGGGTTTACTGACCCCCGTCACTGCCTTTGGGAGGCTGAGAGCACGTTTTTTCTCCCGGCACTATGGGCCTCCCTCCATGCTTCTGATGAAAGATCACCTTTTCCTCTGTCTGTGGTTTGGGTGAAATCCATAGCGTTTAACAGTGAGGAATTAACGGTGAGGAGCTCTTTGTTTTGCTGAGGTTTTGCTTTTCTGCCTCTGCAAAATCAATGAGTCTGTGTGGTTCAGAAAGGAATGAATTCTGCACAGGGCTGTGGCTTGACAGTCTCCAAACCTGGGAAGGAAGGTTCTGCCCACCCGCACCGGACTGCACTTGGTGTTCCGTGTGGGGCAGAGGGGTCTTTTCCACTCGCCCTGGTGCATGTTTCAGTCTGCTTCAATGCGATTGTCTGGTTATTTGCATTTATTACATTGTGCCTCTTATTTGAGATGTTCATAGACTAATCCAGTTCCCCCTCTGAGTTAAACAATAATGGAAAACCTAGACTAAAACAAGCTCCCTCCAGTGGTATTTCTGTGGCCCCCCGGGGCTGGGTATTGATTTTGCAGCAATCTTGCTTGGCTGAGGGCACCAGAATACCCTGGAGTTCATCCAAAGGTCTCCAGTCAATCCCCCTTTCAGTTCGTGCCCCGCAGCATTGCAGGCCTGAGCCAGAGAGGAGAGCATGAAGCTTCTCGGGCTCTGCTGCCCAGAACCTTCCCCACAGGACTGAAATTCTGTTACACTTGAACTGTGGTTCCCTTCATCAAATAATAACGTCTTCCATCAACTTTTATGTTTTGTGTTTTCAAAACCTTTAGTTTCAAGAAGGTCATAGAATTTCTTAATAGAGAAAGACCTCAGGACATATCCTGAATCCATAGTTTACCAACAATGTTTCAAAAGCCGTAACTTTAGGGAAAGAATAAAAATCAGGTGGAATTAGGATTATGGCTGGCTTTTTCCCCCACCCCTCTCCATTCTCTCTCTCTTTCAGTAGGCTGCATTTCAGTCAGTACTAATCTATGGTTTCTTTATATTTGCCTAATTCCAAAAGAACTCAAGATAGCTTATAATATTAAATCAATGTGAAATAGCAATTATAATAATGAGTAACAGATTAATAATCACAGGGAGGGGTGACAATGTCTTTTATTGGGAAAGATGAAATTGAATGACAAATTTTTACTCTGAACTTTTCAAGAGCCAAATGACAAGGAAAGAAAGAAAGAAGAATGTTGTCAGAGAAGGGGGGTGTCTGAAAGATGGGGAGGATGAGTGGGGAGGGGCGAAACGGGGAAGGAGGGGTGTGTCTACGACCTGGATCCTCATTGTCTAACGCACCTGTTTGCCTGGAGGGGAAAACTGCCTTTGGGTATTTCCTTCTGGGAGTGTGGCTCTGAGTTATGGATACTGGTTAACATGAGGGATTGATTTCAACCATGGTTGACATCAGCAGGTTTGTTGGACTGATTGGATTCAAAAGGCAAGAGAAAAAGAGAAGCCAAAGTCACCTTGCAGCCTGGTTTATGCTCACATCCTTGGGCTCAGCCGTCCTCTGCATCCTCTTCTGCCCTGGGCTCGGGCATGCTGACCATGATGTGACTGGCCAGCACCCTGAGGTCAGTGGGTTGATGCAGGTGCATCCAGCAGAGGGGTCCCTCTCCTTCAGTTCCCTCTCTCCTCACCCCGGCTCCACTTTCCTTCCTGAGTCAGTTCTGACTGTGTGTCTGGGGGGCAGATGTCTGGTTTAGTATATTGCATTTGCAATAACTAGCTTTAGCTCAACACTTACTTCGTGCTGGGCACTATGTCATGGACTTCATACCCATTATTTATTTAACCCTCGCAAATTGTGAAGATGATGCTAAGATTATACGCACTTTCTGGGAAGTGGGGTCTAAAGCAAAGGGAGGTTGAGTAATTCACCTCCAGCTTCCCTCTGGGCATAGCTGACATTTGCTGAGTGTCCACTGCCAGTCCACAGGTGAGGATGTCACAGCTCACAGATGTCCAGGGTCACCTAGGGTGCGGGTGGTGGGGTGGGAGCAGGAGCCAGGCTCTCTGACTCAAGGCCCATGGCTTGTTGGTGTGTACCCTGGGCCTGCTACTGCTCCAAGAGTTCCATTTTGTGTCAACTAATTCGGTTCTTGTGTCAGCTGTGGGAGGTGGGCACTGATACCCCCATTTTGCAGATGGACAAAAGGAGGCATGTAGAAAGTCAGTACACCCTGCAGGGTTATGTAGCTGGCAAATAGCAGGTGTCAGACCCAGGCAAGCTGGTTCCACAGTATTCACCGTATTCTATTGGTGATACATACACTCCCTTTAAAAAATTTAAAAAATTATCATGTGTACTTAAAATTGTATTTATTTGTGGGGAGCATATTATGTTTTGACACAGGCATGCAACATGTAATGATCAAATCAGAGCAATCAGGGCATCCATCACCTCAACCGTTTACCATTTCTTTTTGCTGGGAACATTCCAATTCTACTCTTTTAGTTCTTTTAAAGTGTGTGATAAGTTATTATTAACTAGTCACCCTAGGTGCTACCAAATACTAGCTTATTCCATCTCCATGATGGTATTTTGGTGTCCATCAACCACCCCTACTGTCTCCCTCCTCCCCACCCCCCTTCCCCGCCTCTGATTACCATCTTGCCCCTCTCTGTCTCCGTAAGTTCAGTTTTGTCTTCGCTCTCACATGTGAGGGAGAACATTTGCTGTTGGTCTGTGTCTGGCTTATTTTAGACAGGGCTCTTTGCAATACAATGCTGTCCAGTTCCATCTAGGTTGCCCTAAGTGTTAGGACCCCGTTCTTTTTCTGCTGAGCAGCGTTCCGTTGTGTGTGTATACACCAAATTTGTCCGCGGTCTGTCACTGGACACGGAGGGCGATTCCATGTCTCAGCGGCTGTGAATAGTGCTGGAAAAGAGCACGGGGTGCAGGTGTCCCCTCCACATTGTGACTTCCTTTCTCTGGGTAAATGCTGGATCACATGGTGGCTCCATTTCCAGTTTTTAGGGGTGTCTGCACGCTGCTCTCCACCGTGGTCGCTCTACTTCACATTCCCCCCAGCAGCAGGACGGGGGGAAGGTGTGGGGGGAACTCCCCCCTCTCCTCATGTGCTCGCCAGCTTCAGGCTTCAGGCTTCTGGAGTACAAGAACTCCAGTTCTTTGGATCTTTCCACCACGTGGCCACCAGAAAAGCTCCCTCAGGGTGGCAGGATGTGGCCACAGCATATGCCTCCTTATTGGACTCCAACAGGTCACTGGTCAGTGCCACACTGGCCCTCACATTTCTTTGGCCCCTCTTGGCCTGATGCAGACAGGAGAATGAGGTCACTTTAAGTGGCTTTGACCACTCTAGAGCTGGCAGCAGAGTCGGTGTCCCCTGAGGCCCTGGCATGCGGGGGTGGACATTTTGATATGGTTAGAGAGGAGGAAAATCCTTCTGAATGAGCAACTGAAAGTATCCAACCTACAAATATAGACAAGGGAGTCCTATAATTCACTGAAGATCCAGAAGACCAGTGAAGGCTTCCCCAGCAGCACTGCGGCGCAGAGCCTCCCGGGAACCTGGATCTCTGCTCCTGATGCAGCCTGCGCCT